CGGTTGAGAGCTGGGCCCTGGTGCCAGGCTGCCTGGATTCGATCCTGGCTTCTGCCACTTACTGTGACATAGCTCCTCTGTGCCACGGTGACATAGGGCGACTGTGAGGATTAAATGTGGCCACGTGTAAAATGCCAACCTGCGTACCCTCAAGGTGAGACAGCCGCCGAGCTGCCGCCTTGTACTCGTGTTCCTCTCTTGTATGTCACGCCCCTTCAATGTTGGCTTCTCACGGGGACCTTTTTTCTCTTAAATCCACAGATGATATTTCCCGTGTCAGACTTTCAGTCCAGACCCATTCCGCCGACGACTACATCAATGCCAACTACATGCCTGTACGTGGTGGGGGGGTCCTCCGAGCNTTTTCTAATTGCCTCTTTTTCTTTCTTTCCCTTTCTATGATGAAGACCTAAAAAGTGAGTAAGCTCTTTGCTTTTTTTTTTTTTTTTAATACCTTGTGTTTTTCTATTTCAAACTATTGCATGTAAAACATCCTAATACTTGCTTTGTTTTCTTAGGTCCAAGCTAGTCAAAGTGGAGAATTTTGAGACCTACTTTAAGAAACAGCAAGCTGACTCCAACTGTGGGTTTGCAGAAGAATACGAAGTGGGTGGCTGTAAACACTGCGTTTTTCATTGCTTTGTTTTTACTGAAAGTTGTAAAACTGCCCATTTTTGTTCTGTGGGGAAGCTCTGGGAAAGAGGCGACCCTCTTGGAGGGGGGAGAGGCTCTCGTGTGTCCCGCAGGGTCACACTGTGGCCGTGTGAGCACTTAGATGGTCCTTCGATTCTCGTGGTGTTGATACCTGAAGATGCTGCGGAGATACAGAAACTGGGAATTCAAGTTAGAGGGTGGGAACGAAAGTAATTAGGACGCTGGGTGAGCTGCAGAGGCACGAGATGGGGCTTGGGGGCTGGGGCTGAGGCCGTGCGGTGGAGGTGAGTTCTGGAGGGTTTGTGTGGAAAGAGCTTCTGTCTCTCAGTCCCCGTGTGCCCTCCCCAGACCAGCTGGGACCCCCTCCCCCAGGCCAGGGGGGACCCCCTCCCCCAGAAACGGCCCGCACCCCGCCCTCCGCGCGTGTCCGCCCTGCGGCACCTCTGCCTGCATTGAAATCTGCGCACCACTCGTGTGGTGCCGGTGGCTGCCGTGACCAGTTCCCACGGGGGGAGCTGAGAACAGCAGAAGTGTAATCTCCATGCTCCTGGAGGCCAGACGTCCAGAATCGGGGGCTTGGGCAGCGCCCTGTGCCCTCGGAAACTTGTAGGGGAGGAGCCCACCCTGCTTCATGCAGCTCGTGGAGGCCCAGGCACTGCTGGCTGTGGCTGCAGAGCTCCAGGCCGGCCTCCATTCTTCCATCCTGTGTGTCTGTCTCCGCCTCCCTCCTATGAGGGGCATCGGTCACAGGCGGGTAAGGACCCCCTGCTCCAGTGTGACCCCATCTTATCTTGATTACGCCCGCAAAGACCGTAGTTCCAAGTAAGGTTGCACTCACGGGGACCGCAGTTTAGAACTTCAGCATATCTTTTTTTTGGGGGGGACATAATTTAACCCATCACATCTCAGCATTCCTACTTAAAAAAACAGGTTTATTGAGATATAATTACACACAAAAAATCGACTATGTCGATTCATTTTTCTCCAACTTTTATTGAGAACTAATTGACATACGTCACTGTGTAAGTTTAAGGCATGTAGCACGATAGTTTGACTCAGATATATTATGAAACGGTGACCGCAATAGGTTCGACTACCATCCATCTTCTCATATAGATACAATGAAAAGAAAAAAAAATAGAAAAAGGTATTTTCTTGTGATGAGAACTCTTAGGTTTTACTCTCTTAACAACCTTCCTATATACCAGTGATTTTTTATTTTGATACCAGTGATTTTTAACCAGTGTGCTGCAAGAATTTTTAAAAATGCAATACCTGACTATTTAGTCAGGGACACTGACCTCTTTTCCTTAGATTGTCAGATAAAAAAATGACAACAGCCAACACAACAATAGCCGTCCTGTGTGAATTAATCAAAATTATACCTATTTTTTTTGGTTAGATTGGCAAAAGATATAATTTTTGGTGTGCTACAGAATTTTAGTAATTAGTTTATGTGTGCCATGAGATGACAAAGTTTGGAAATAGCTGCTACATATCATATAGAAAATATATGATATATAGAAAATATATGACATATCCTATAGAAAATACATGGTATATAGAAAATATATGACACACCCTATAGAAAATATATGGTATAGAAAATATATGGTAACCCCACACTGTGGGGTTAGCGGTACTCATCACGGTCAGTATAAATAATACATACTCTGTGCTCAGTATAAATAATATTTGAACACTGACTAAATGAACAACTCATTTGCTTTATTTTCAGGATCTGAAGCTTGTTGGGATTAATCAACCTAAATATGCAGCTGAACTGGCTGAGAATCGAGGAAAGAACCGCTATAATAATGTTCTGCCCTGTAAGTTGTCCTCCCAGACGATCTTCCCGTTTCTCTGTCACTGGCCGTTGCCCCTCTAGCAGGAGGGGGGGCCCCCAGAGGCCAACTAGTCACTTCCCCACTGTTCGTCAGTCACCTGCTGTGTGCTGAGCACTGTATTTGGGCGTGTTCCTCTGAATCCAGTCCTCACGACAAACAGGTAGCGGGACATTCATTTTGCAGGTGAGGAAAATGAAGCAGAGTGGCTAAGGGACTTGTCCAAAGTCACACAGGCCGTCATGGCAGGACCAGGCTTGGACGAGGTCTGTCCGTTTCCTTCAGGGACAAGGCCAGAGCCTGCGCTCGATTTTTTTTTTTTTTTAATTAAAATTCCCCCCCCATGACAGTTTACAGTCAATATTATTTTATATTAGTTTCAGGTGTATAGCAAAGTGGTTAGACAGTCATACACTTTACAAAGTGTTCCCGCGATATTTCCAACACCCACCTGGCACCATCCACAGTCATTATAAACATTATTGACCCTACTCCCTCTGCTGTACTTTGCGTCCCCGCGACTGTCCTGTAACCACCAATCTGCACTTCTCAGCCCCTTTACCTTTTGCACCCAGTCCGCAGCCCTCCTCCCCTCCAGAGCCTGTGCTGCTAAC